CGCCAACAATATCGACGAAATTACAGCCCCGTAACCAAGCTCGCCGTCCAATCCCGTACCGCAATAATTCTCTGAATTTCACGGCAGGTTCATTTCAAAGGGGTTGGGTTACCATTGAGAAATTCAGAAAGAGTCGCGACTTGGGAGTGCGACTCGATGTTTGAATGTGCTCTATAAAATTGTACTGTCAAATTTGTGAAGTCATAGTGCAATTTCCAGAGAACTCCAGAGAGCCCTCTATCCTCGTTTTCCTAGCCTACTAAGGCTGCTACTTCCCTGCCAGCAACGTTTCACTGGTAATCAGAGCCTGGTTAGTTATTTCGCACGCTCCCGCCATATTCTAGACCCTATGGCCGGACCGTCTGATATGACGCCGGAACTCTGGAACGAATTTGTTGCGAATATGTGCCGAGAAATTGAACGCGAGGTGCGTGACCGGATCCTCGGCGAACTCCAGGAACGTGGACTCCTGGGCACACAGGTGCCGACGCCAGCACCTGCTGTGGTTTCTGCACGACCCAAAGCACCCGAACCTGAGCCGTTCATCCCTGGAAAACGTCACTTACCGGTGCGACGGTGGCTTTTCCAAGTGGAGGAATACCTCTCCCTTGGTCATGTCAACCGGGCGGAGTGGGCTCGGCACGCCGGCATGATGCTGAGGGGTGCAACTGCTACTTGGTGGCAGAGTTGCCATGCTACGATTTCAACTTGGGAAGAGTTTTCTGCATCGCTATTAATGAACTTCAAGCCGGTCAACTCCATCGAGCGCGCACGTGACAACCTCGCTGAATTACGCCAACATCGCTCGGTCGCTGAGTACATCAACCGCTTCCGCGAGCTCGTGCTTGAGATCCCTGACATCCCTGCTGCTGAACAGATGGACAAATTCAAGCGTGGGCTGAAGCCGAAAATCCGCACCGAGGTCAAACTCCGCGGCGCTATGACGTTGGATGAGATGATTTGTGTCGCCAAGCGTTTTGACACCATCAACTTTGCAGCATACCAGCGATTCCAAGGACAAACCGGGCAGCACACCACTGCTGGACCTACCTACCGCACCAACGGTCGTTCTCCCATGGAGCTCGGTGTGGTGGAACAGCGTGCACGCAACCAGTCCACGCTTACGTGCTACTCGTGCGGGAAAGTCGGCCACATCAAGCGACATTGCCCGAACCGCCGCAACTTTGAAAGGTCTCCAGGAAACGGACAGCGCCAGTAGCAGTGGGGCAGATCTCTGGCGCATCGCATGCCCCGCTTCTCCCGACTCCATTATTCATCGACACCTCTGAACTCTACACCACATCCAACGCTCCATTCCCCGCCATCATTCTATACGCAAAAATAAAGAATCGCTACGTTGAGTTGTTGCTCGATACCGGCGCTTCAGCAAATTTCCTCTCTCCCTCAATTGCTGCTGAACTTTCTCTCCCCGAAGATCCCAACAGCAACCCGCAGGACGTGATCATGGCAGATGGTACTCGGCGGCGCTGCGGACCTACTCTCCTCCCAGTGCGTTGCATGTTTGGAAGCTTGGAGGCGACGGTCACATTCGAGCAACTGCACCTTGGCGGGTACGAAGGCGTTATTGGTCGACCATGGTTGCACCAGTTTGGACCGCGGATTTATTGGCGCAACGGAACTGTCACCGTCGGCAACTACGACCTCCCATCCCACTCCTTTCGCCGACCATGGTCATCCCCAACCAGTTCCGCTTCATCAACCCATCCACCCCAACCTGCCCCATCTCCATCTTCCCATATCCCCCCTCTCCCTCCTCCTCGCATAGCTCCCGTGCAGCAGCCAAAACCACCCGGCTCTCCCGAAGTGATCAACACACCTCCTCCTTCTCCACCCCACCCAACCCAGCAGCCACGACGTCCCATCATCCGCCCCGCCTCTGAAGTTATCAATCCATCAGCCCCCACCCCTCCATCACCACCTCCTCCTCATCATCTCCAAGTCATCTTCACCGCTCCCGAATCTGAACCATCACCCAACTCTCTCCCATCACCTACAGAAGTTACTCCAAGGCTACACCGACGTCTTCACCGAAGATCTTCCCGCCGAACTTCCACCCGAGCGTGCTATTGACCATAGCATCCGCCTCATTCCAGGTTCTACACCGCCCGTGCGCCCAACCTATCGCATGAGCACCGCTGAACTTTTGGAGCTCCGACGTCAACTCGATGACCTTCTCGAGAAGGGTTTCATCCACCCAAGCACCTCACCATACGCTGCCCCCGTGCTTTTCACCCGCAAGAAGGAAGGTGACCTGCACCTTTGCATCGACTACCGCGCCCTCAACGCCATCACAATCAAGAATAAGTACCCGCTGCCCCGTGTCGAGGAGTTGTTCGACATGCTTGGGGAAGCAACAGTTTTCAGCAAGCTTGACCTACGCTCCGGTTACCACCAGATCCGGCTCGCCGAAGACGACATCAACAAGACGGTGTTTCGAACCCGCTACGGCCACTTCGAGTTCCGCGTACTTCCGTTCGGCCTCACCAACGCACCAGCCACGTTCATGGGACTCATGAACGACATTTTTCGGCCCTTCCTTGACCGCTTTGTCATCGTGTTCCTCGATGACATCCTCATTTTCAGCAAGTCACTCGAGGAACACGCTCAGCACCTACGCATCATCCTCGACACGCTTCGCCAACACCGCCTCTACGCCAAGCTCTCCAAGTGCACCTTCGCCCGTTCAAGCATCGGCTTTCTCGGCCATGTCATCAGCTCCAAAGGCATTGCTATGGACCCCGCAAAGGTCCAGTGCCTTGCTGATTGGCCAGCCTCACGCACAGTAGCGGACCTGCAAAGTTTCATCGGCCTCGCCAAGTATTACCGGAAATTCATTTTCAACTTCTCTCACATCTGCGCCCCTTTGACCGATCTCTTCCGTCAAGGAGCTGCCTTTCAATGGGGACTACCGCAGCAGACCGCTTTCAACTCAATCAAATCAGCACTCACCTCTCCACCGGTCCTCACCGTCGCCGACCCTTCACGCCCATACTTCATATGGACCGATGCTTCCGATGTCGCTGTCGGTGCCATTCTTTGCCAAGACCACGGCCACGGGATGCAGCCACTCGCTTTCGAGTCACGCAAGCTTCAACCGGCAGAGCGCAACTACGCAACACACGATCGGGTGCTCCTTGCCATTGTCCACGCAATCAAGACATGGCGCTGTTACGTGGAGCTGCAGTCCGTCACCGTCTACACCGACCACCGCCCTCTTCAACACTTGAAAACAAAGCCCGTGCTCAGCCGCCGCCAAGCCCGATGCGCTGAGTTTTTGGAGCAGTTCGTACCCTCACTTCAGATTATCTACCGCCCCGGAAAACTCAACCCAGCCGACTTCTTGTCCCGACCACCACCACCAGCCCCACCACCCACCGACCAGCCCAAACCAACCACCAACCAGCCCCACCACTCCCCAACCAGCCCCACCTCATCACCTCCACCTCACACTCCGAACCCACCCTTGCAACTCCATGGAATCAGCAGCATCACTTGGGATGATACCTTCATCACGAAATTTCAGCGCGCCTACAAACGTGACCTGTTTTTTGTCAAGCAAGCACCCGAGGACTTGGCCTACTCATTTGAAGACCCATTTTGGTACAACACCGTCACCAAGACCATTTGTGTCCCTGCAGATCGCTCCTTACGACAGCTGCTACTCTCCGAATACCACGACACCGTTACCGGCAGCTACTTTGGTGTTGAGAAGACCTACGCACGCCTCTCCAACGACTACCATTGGCCACGCATGCATGCTGATGTGCGTGACTTCATACGCACCTGCCGCACCTGCCAACAACTCAAAGCACGCACCACCAACCACTCCGGACTCCTTCAGCCCATCCCTCCACCTACCAAAGTGTGGGATGAAGTCACCATGGACTTCATCATGGATCTGTCCCGCACACCCTGCAGCTACAACGCTATCCTAGTCGTCGTCGACCGACTCTCCAAAATGAGCCACTTCATTCCTACCCACACAACCGTTACCACACCCGAAACAGCCCGACTCTTCTTCGATCACATAGTCCGCCTACATGGTCTCCCATCCGCCATCATTTCAGACCGTGACCCCCGCTTCTTGAGTAACTTTTGGCAGAGCCTCTTCAAGCTTCACAGAACCCGGCTGAAGTTTTCTACCGCGTATCACCCTGAAACGGACGGACAAACCGAACGGATGAACCGCACGCTTGAAGACTCCCTCCGTGCACAAGTTACTGCTCGCCAAACTGATTGGGATCTCCACCTCACCGCCATCGAACTCGCATACAACAGCACACCCCACCTTTCCACCGGCCAGCCACCCTTCTACCTCGCAACCGGACAGCACCCCCGCCTCCCCACGACCCCACCCCCCCACCTCTCCCACGCACCAGCAGCCTTTGAGTTCCTCACCTCACTCGAATCAGCCATTGATGCCGCTCGCACCTCCATCCTTAAAGCTCAAGCCAAACAGTCCCACTATGCCAACTCCCACCGCAAAGATATACGCTTCAAGGTTGGCGATCAAGTGTTACTCTCCACTGACCACCTACCTCTCGTACGCAAAGGGACAACCAGAAAACTCGCCCCTCGCTTTATTGGCCCGTTCACCATCACCCGAGTCCTCTCACCAGTCACCTACCGTCTCCAACTGCCCAGCTATATGAAGATTCACCCCGTCTTCCATGTCCAGCGCCTCCGCCCTTTCCGTGCACCTTCACACGACCGTCCAGCCACACGCCAACTGCCACCGATGTTCGAAGGCAGCCCCGGCCTGTTTGAGGTTGCATCTATCACCGCTCACCGCGACACACCTCATGGTCGGGAGATTCTTGTTCATTGGAAAGACCAGCCCACTAGTGACGACTCATGGGAACCAGAGAGCCACCTTGACCGTGCCGCAACTGCTGTGAATCGGTATTTGACCAGCCACTGTTTGGCGCCGTGGACGGCGCCACTTGGAGGGGGAAGTAATGTAACAGTGTGGCAGCCGAATGCTGCCAAGTACAGTGCAGGTGGGCGGAAGTCAAGCGCCACCTCACCAACTGTTCGTATTGGTCAAACGCCTCAACCTGCAGCTGGGCGACCAGGTCCTGACACGCAGCCCAACACAGACCCTCGCGCGAAAATTACGAAACGCAGAACACCGAAGTTCCGACCGCTCGCCGACTTCGCCAACAACAACGACGAAATTACAGCCCCGTGACCAAGCTCGCCGTCCAATCCCGTACCGCAATAATTCTCTGAATTTCACGGCAGGTTCATTTCAAAGGGGTTGGGTTACCATTGAGAAATTCAGAGAGAGTCGCGACTTGGGAGTGCGACTCGATATTTGAATGTGCTCTATAAAATTGTACTGTGAAATTTGTGAAGTCATAGTGCAATTTCCAGAGAACTCCAGAGAGCACTCTATCCTCGTTTTCCTGGCCTACTAAGGCTGCTACTTCCCTGCCAGCAACGTTTCACCCTCCGCCCAGCATCCTCCCTCCCTACGCCCAGCTTCCTCCCTTCCTCCGCCCAGCTTCCTCCCTCCCTACGCCCAGCTTCCTCCCTCCCTACGCCCAGCTTCCTCCCTCCCTCCGCCCAGCTTCCTCCCTCCCTCCGCCCAGCTTCCTCCCTCCCTCCGCCCAGCTTCCTCCCTCCCTCCGCACAGCTTCCCCCCTCCCTACGCCTAGCTTCCTGCCTCCCTCCGCCCAGCTTCCTCCCTCCCAACGCCCAGCTTCCTCCCTCCCTACGCCCAGCTTCCTCCCTCCCTCCGCCCAGCTTCCCCCCTCCCTACGCCCAGCTTCCTCCCTCCCTCCGCCCAACTTCCTCCCTCCCACCGCCAAGCTTCCTCCCTCTCTCTGTAACAGTGTGGCAGCCGAATGCTGCCAAGTACAGTGCAGGTGGGCGGAAGTCAAGCGCCACCTCACCAACTGTTCGTATTGGTCAAACGCCTCAACCTGCAGCTGGGCGACCAGGTCCTGACACGCAGCCCAACACAGACCCTCGCGCGAAAATTACGAAACGCAGAACACCGAAGTTCCGACCGCTCGCCGACTTCGCCAACAACAACGACGAAATTACAGCCCCGTGACCAAGCTCGCCGTCCAATCCCGTACCGCAATAATTCTCTGAATTTCACGGCAGGTTCATTTCAAAGGGGTTGGGTTACCATTGAGAAATTCAGAGAGAGTCGCGACTTGGGAGTGCGACTCGATATTTGAATGTGCTCTATAAAATTGTACTGTGAAATTTGTGAAGTCATAGTGCAATTTCCAGAGAACTCCAGAGAGCACTCTATCCTCGTTTTCCTGGCCTACTAAGGCTGCTACTTCCCTGCCAGCAACGTTTCACCCTCCGCCCAGCATCCTCCCTCCCTACGCCCAGCTTCCTCCCTTCCTCCGCCCAGCTTCCTCCCTCCCTACGCCCAGCTTCCTCCCTCCCTACGCCCAGCTTCCTCCCTCCCTCCGCCCAGCTTCCTCCCTCCCTCCGCCCAGCTTCCTCCCTCCCTCCGCCCAGCTTCCTCCCTCCCTCCGCACAGCTTCCCCCCTCCCTACGCCTAGCTTCCTGCCTCCCTCCGCCCAGCTTCCTCCCTCCCTACGCCCAGCTTCCTCCCTCCCTCCGCCCAGCTTCCTCCCTCCTTCCGCCCAGCTTCCTCCCTCCCTCTGCCCAGCTTCCTCCCTCCCTCCGCCCAGCTTCCTCCCTCCCTCCGCCCACTAGCCCACCCTCCTTCTGCAATGCTTCCCCCATCCCTCTGCCCTGCTTCCCTCCGCCCTCCGTCCTGCTTACCCCCACCCTCTTAGAGGTGAGACTCACGCACTAGGTGAGCATTCGACCACCCCATATGCCCCTCCTCTCCCTCTATCTCACCATCTTTCCTGTACCTCCCCATGTGCCTCTCCCCTCCCTCCCCATGTGCCTCTCCAATCCCTCAATACAGGCCGCTCCAATCCCTCCCCATGTGCCTCTCCATTTTCTCCCCATGTGGCTGCGCAGCGAGGAGGGGGGATGCACGCGCAACAGTGGGGCAGCACAACAGATTCGTGTGCAAGCTCAGTGACCATTCTCCTCCCCTTTCCTGCCTCCACCCAACTACTTGCAGACCTTTTTGGATTGCATTCACATCGAGAAGGAGGAGGGGGTACGCAGGTGCATCTAGGGGGCAGGGCAGCAAACTTAGGAACAAGCTCACGTTCGAAAAGTGCAAACAGCATCGATGAGTCGAGAACGTCTGGGCTGAATGTTGAGATGTGTCCTGTCGTATCTCCACCTTCCTGCCCCACCCTGTCAGGATCTGAGTGCCCTGGCCAGCAGCACCACAGTGTTGGTGTTGTGGGAGGTGTACCCTGACGCCCTGCCGCTCTTTCCTGACTGCCCCACACCATTCCTTCGCTCGCCATGACTGGCGAGCCGCTTTGGATGTTACTGGTTGCCAATGGGTTTGGCATCATTATAAATTGTAACTGCCTACATTGTCCGTTGCAACTACAACTATAATATGTGCCAGTTTATTACTCTAATACAGTATCATGATTAGGTTTAAGACAGAACGGCAAAGTCCAGAAAACACACTCGTCCATGGCATGTTCAAGAGCAATGTCACCAAGTGGGGATGGATACACAACCCACTCACTCATCTTGACCTGCCACCCACACATCCACTTCCTCCCCGTCATAGCGGCCTGCTACCCACCACTCATCACTATCGTTGCTCCACTCCTCCGCATCTCTTATCACTGCATTTGCAACATCATCCTCGTGATCCGATGGGGTTTCAGCCTCATCCCTCTCACAGTGGTAAACCTGCAGCTATAGCCAATGAGAAGGAGGACAGGCCAGAGTGTAGGGTGGTGTGCCTGTCGCGATCCATAATCTCATCCGCAGAGCAAGGCAGGTCAAGGCAGGGGTAGGGCATGCCTGGAGGGGGGAAGGGAGAAGGGCGGAGCGGGGCATGACAGGGGAGAACCATGGCAGGGCAGGGCAGGGCATGCCATGGCATGGCATGGCATGGCATGGCATGGCATGTCGCGGAAGGAGCAGACCAGGGCGGGGCAGGCCATGACAAAGCAGGGCATGCATGGCCCTTCTAGTCATGGCATGGCATGCATAGAGGGTGCAGACAATGGCGGGGCGGGGCAGGACAGGGCAGGACATGGCATTGCAGGGGAGGACAGGGCAGGACAGGGCAGGGCAGGACAGGGCAGGGAACAGAAGTTCAGGGCAGGGCAGGACAGGGCAGGGCAGAGCAGGGCAGGACAGGGCAGGGCAGGGCTGGGCAACTCCTGGTGTGGCATGGCCTGTTTAGAGGGCATAGGGAAAGGCGGTGCGGGGCAGGACAGGGAGGGGCATGGCATGGCATGCTTAGTGGTAGCAAACAAGGGCAGGACAGGGCAGGGCAGGGCCGGGCAGGGCAGGGCAGGGAAGAGCATGACAGGGCATGACAGGGCAGGGCAGGGCATCTCCTGGTATAGCATGGCATGTTTAGATGGAGCAGGGAAAGGCGGTGCGTGACAGGACAGGGAAGGGCATGGCATGCTTAGTGGTAGCAAACAAGGGCAGGACAGGGCAGGGTCCAAGCATGGCATGGCATGGAGTGGCATGCCTAGGGGGAGGTGACAAGATCGAGGCGAGAAAAAATACAAAACCGACTTGGATATAATGGGAGAGCCGAGCAGGCCAACTTAGAGCATGGTGGGCGTGAGGTGTTTGCCAAATACCTTTGGGGGTGTCGAAAGTTGTGGGCGGCATCGTGGTGCTTTTCCGTGATGACGGGCAAGCCTCGTGCGGGTTTGACAACTCACTTGAGGTGGCCTTTAGACGCCTAGCGTGGGAGGTTCGACACATCACATATAAGCAACATAAAGATGGAGTGAAAAACGCGGATTGTGAACACATTACGCTGGCTAGAATGTTGACGTCGAATATGTGCCAAGATAAGCGATAACAACACTCAAGATACGCTGTCGTTGCTTACCCAAACGACGGCGTGCAGATCCACGAGACGTGCCGCACACCGGACCGAACCCTCCTTGGCGCACTGGTGTCACGGGCTCAAGAACAAATGCTGTGGGCCGTGCGATCGATGCATCGACCAGCTGCGCAGCTGTTGCCGTCGTTTCAGGCATCTCGACAACGTCCACACTATCTCCATGCCGTAGTGTTCGTTGCCATTCCTCCATGATGCGATCAACCCAAGCCCAATCCATTTTGGTCAAGATGCGCTCCTTGGATCCGCGCCTGATCCTCGTCACCTGTCGGACTCTAGTGCGATAGGCGGTCACCAGACGATCCATGCCGTGATTCCAATGAAGAACCGCGAGACCAACTCGCGCTGGGAAGCTGCCCTGAAACCTAATCCGCTTTGGTGCGTATTTGATTATCAAAGAATGGAAAGACTCGTTGAGAGAACTCGATGCGCCATGCACAAAGGACTTCACCTTCTCGGGGCTTAAGTGCTTGGAGAACCATGCACGAACCGCCTTATGTGTTGATGACCCAAACTCATATATGGCATGGTCCTTGCCCCACCCCTCTCTGACGCAGCGAGGTGGGGTCTCTCCTACCCCAGAGCAGCCGGAGTGGTCACATGCCCAGTGGTTGGGTGGGCTCCCAAGCTCCCTCGCCACGTCGGCCAGACTCATAGGATGTCCCTCTTTCTTCTTTGCACCACATCGCACCATCACATGATAGAAATGAGAGGATAAGCGTTGTGCCACAGTTTGTTCCTCCTTGCCAGAGTCGATCTGATCTTTGCCTCTTTTCCGCTTACGACGACCAGTCCAGTGAGGTAGTGTCTCGGGCTCGCTGAACGCATTAGGGTTGTGCACCTCGGTATCAGCCCTGCCTCCATCAGGCACATCTGTGGATGTAAGAAAATGAAAGATGAGAATTTAGTATAGAATTGCACTTGGATCATTAAGCCCAAAACTTGGGAAGGGGATGTATGCATACCGGTCTCCGTGTCGGTGTTGGCCCAAGGTGTGGATCCACCAATGAAATGGGAGTTTCTGTTTGGGCCCGCGTGCGCAAGCATGATGAGGGTGCTCGCCAAAGATGTCGGCCGTGCACCATGCGTCGGGTGCACATCATAACTCCATAGCTCCTCCACGTCCTCCCACTGAACGTCAACGTTCCCCTCCTCAGGTGTCGGCACGTCCACGGCAGCCCGCTCAGCTTGCTCATCCCGCTCTCGCACATCAGCATCAGAAGCACCAGGCACCTTACCGTAGTTCACAGGCACCTCCACCGTACTACACCCCCCTCCCCCATCCGCACCACCTGTCTTAGCTCGGGAAACTTCCATTTCGCCTCTTCTGGGGTCATCTTCTTGTAAACAATCGGGCCCATGGCTTCACAAACTGCTTCCACCAAAGCCTCTTTCAGAGAAGCCTTCGACTCTTTCACCAACCCCCGCGCTGTCAACCATTGCCATAGCCCTTCGACAGTCGCAAGCCATAGATCCTCAATACAGCTTGCCTTGTCCACAGCCACCGGTGCACTGACCGAATCCTGAAGTTCTTTCAGAAACAACTTGTAAAGAGTCCGCTTCACATGCCACCAGTCCACCTGGTGGTTCAATCCCCTTTCGGACGCTGCTCCGCGAAAAGTAGTCCCTTGGTCAGAGATTATCCTGTCACAACATATAGCTTACTTGTTTCTGTAGGCTATAGTGGGGTATCCCATAGGGGGTACAACCCAATTAGGGTTTCCTATTTGTACTCACTTCGTTCTTAGTCATTCCTATTCTCGTTCATATTTTCTCATGGAATCAGAGCAGGTCCCTTCCTAGGGACTGTTCCTAGGGCCCACCGAAGCGCGCCCCGAGGCGCGCGTTTTTTTTAAGCGACCCTCCGTGTCGCCCTTACCGCCGTGCTCCCGCTTAGGCCCCTCGTCGGCCCCGCTTAGGCCCCTCGTCGGCCCCGCTTAGGCCCCTCGTCGACCCCGCTTAGGCCCCTCGTCGCCCCCCCCTTAGGCCCTTAGTCGGCCCCACTTAGGCCTCGTCGGCCCCGCGTAGGCCCCGTCGGCCCCGCTTAGGCCCCGCTACGGCCCCTCGTCGGCCCCACTTAGGCCCTGTCGGCCCCGCTTAGGCCTCGTCGGCCCCGCTTAGGCCCCGCTACGGCCCCGCGTCGGCCCCGCTTAGGCCCCGTCGGCCCACCTAGGCCCCGCTACGGCCCCTCGCCGGCCCCGCCTAGACCCCGTCGGCCCGCCGTAGGCCCCGCTCCAGCCCGCCGTCGGCCCCGCTATAGCCCGCCGTCGGCCCCGCTACAGCCCGCCGTCGGCCCCGCTACAGCCCGCTGCCGGCCCCGCTACAGCCCGCTGTCGGCCCAGCTCCAGCCCGTCGCCAGCCCCGCTACAGCCCGCCGTCGGCCCCCCCTACAGCCCGCCGCCGGCCCCGCTACAGCCCGCTGTCGGCCCCGCTCCAGCCCGCCGCCGGCCCCGCTACAGCCCGCCGTCGGCCCCACTACAGCCCGCCGCCTGCCCCGCTACAGCCCGCCGTCGGTCCCGCTACAGCCCGCCGTCGGCCCCGCTACAGCCCCGCTACAGCCCGCCGCCGGCCCCGCTACAACCCCGCTATGGCCCGCCGTCGGCCCCGCCGCCCGTGCTGCAGCCCGCCGCGCCACCGTGCAGCCGCCCACAGTGCCGCCCGTGAGCAGCCCCAGCCGCCCGTGAGCCGCCCGTGCAGCCGCCCGCGCCGCCCGTGAGCCCCTGCGTCACCCGAGCCGCGCGAGCCGCGCGAGCCGCCCGAGCCGCCCGAGCCGCCCGAGCCGCCCGAGCCGCCAGAGGAGCCGCACTCCTGCTCCTGTGGGGCCACTGCTGCTCCTGGGCTGTGTTACTGTGCCGGTGACCTACCCGAATTTTCCTGCCCGGTGAGACTGTCAGCTTCTGTCATGGCCACCCCCACTGTCCTAGCTTTTGACGCTGAGGGTAGAGCCATTGACTTTGCAGTCTGGATTGAAGACCTGCAGCTGTACTTACTGTGTGATGCGATAGATGAGGTCTCTCTCTTTGACTTTGTCTCTGGCGCTGTCCCTGCCCCTCCTGCTGATGCTGACCCCGCTG